TATTATTATTATTATTATTATTATTATTATTATTATTATTATTATTATTATTATTCGTTTAAATATCAAATTTCGTCGAAATTTGAATTTATACGTCTATCAATAAAAATTATTTTTATAAATCTTTTTAATTATTTATTTACAATAAACTTATGTACTTTGCATTAAATATTCAATTTTTTTTGACTAAGCAAACACTTTTTATTGTCTATTATTAAAATTAAAACAAATTAAAAATCAAAAATTTAATACTTTTTAACCCAACCTTTAAAAAGTTTAAAAAATTCAAAATATTTTGAAAATTATACCATGTAGGTATAATTGGTATAAGAAATGTTTATATTAACTACAAACATTTACTGAAAATTTTAACTATTTATAAATATTCATTTTTAAATAGTAAAATATCGATTTCATCAATAACTGTTTTCAAAATGTATTTTTCATATATATTCAAATTCAAACAAAAATTGTCTACCTACTTCTTATTTTAAAAGATTAAAATAATATCATTTTTCAGTAAACTATCTACCTTGTAGGTACAAGGTCTAGATATAATTTACTGTTTTAATGACATTTTAAAAATCTAACTTTGTAATTTGTAAACTGTAAATATATACTTGTTTTCCTTTTTCAATTAAATATGTTATGAGTACTATGAGCTTTATACACATATACATATTACACATTTTCAAAACGCCTTAAAACCGTAACATAAAAAATTAAAGGTATGTTTAGGTACAAAGATTGTTTATAATATTAAATCAATCAAAACCTTCATATATCTATAACTAAGGAGCAAAAAAAATATCTATTTACAATTTCGTTTCAAGTGCAAAAAAAACATTAAAACAAATATTTATGGTATTTAAATTATTCTGTTCGAAATTTTTAAAACGAACATCGAATTTTACTATTAACAATTAAATATTAGACTATGAATTTCACGATTATCTATAAAAAAGTTTAAAGACATTTTTAAACTATATTTATTTACATAAATTAATCTTGTTCGTCCTAAAAGTTGCAATTATTGTTGTTTAGTTGTTAGATTTGAAACAATTCTTCTCTTTTAAATTAGAACAATATTAAAATATCATATTTTTATCGTTTATACATTGATAATAGTTAGTATGTACACAGTAAATATAATTAAAATATTATTTTTAATAATGTTAATTAATTCCCATCTTAATTCTAATTCGATTCTATGAAAATGTATTACATAATGCATGTTTATTGTTCGGTTTATACCTGATAACATGACAATAAAAAATGTCTTTTCTATACACAATTAAATGCGATACAATATTCAATGAAATTATTTATATTAAAACTTAAAAGACTAAATCTTTGTGTTTTATATAGTACTGTAGTAGTTTTAGCGTCATTGCTTAAATAAATATTATTTTATTAGTTCATAAGTAAACAACGTATGATAGCTATAAATAAATAAATAAAAGCTGATACTTTTATTTTTTGTTCAAAATAATAAAACACAAAAACATAATTTACTGATTATTATAATGTATAAAAATATACTATACTTAAAATTATAGTAAATATTTGTCTTTATTTTAAAAAATCAGTCAAAAATATTGATTTCTTAAATATTTAATATACGCGGAAAATAAGAACTATTTTTAATAATATATGAGATAAATAAAATTATAAAAAAATAGGCAGTGGATACCACTCTGCAGTGTATTAACTACTAGGTATCGAGTAGATCACTTTTAAATTTGAATTCAATAATATATAATTTTATACAAAAAACGATTCTGAGCGAAAACAATCTATCAGCCTGGATTACTAAACTTTCGTATGCTTTTTGATATAGCTATTGAAATAATTTATTTCACTTTAGTTTTACGATAATTTGATACAACTTCTTTCTGAAAATATTGCATTAATTAAATTATTAGTATTTAATTATTATAATTATATATATTTTTACGGTATTATAATGTTATATAAACTTATTTAACCCAAAATTTAATAACATTTTTCCGTAAATACCGTTTAACATTAAAAATAAGTGCATAGTATAAATAAATAATATCTTAAGGATTTTTTAAATTTCAATATGAGTTACTTATAAAGAATATTATATTGTATTTTCAAACCTTACTTATAAAAATTAAAGATTTTATACATTTTTAACACAAAATACTTATTGTTTGTAATTTTTGTGATTTTAACAAATTTTGTAAACATTTAAACTTTAAATAGATATATAAAAAAAAAATATAAATATGCATTTTTAATACGCTTATACAGATATAAGAACAACTAAGTGGAGTCTTGTATTATATTTTCGAGAATTTTATCTATCAAATATTTTTTATTGACATTCATAGAAAATAAACTGAAAACAAAATCAAAAAATTCTTATGCCCATAAAAACTCAAAAATAATCAAAATATTTTTAAAATTATATCATGTATAATATAAACAGTTGATGAAATTCGCAATTATCTACTATTATTTTTTTTTTTTAATTACTAAAAAAACAAAAATTGTTTCAAGAAAAATAGTTATTATATTATATGTAAATATTAAATGCTTCAAAATTTTAACTTCAAGCGTTCATAAAATATTAATTTAATTTTCCTGTAGACATTTATTTTTATTTTTAATAAAGGTTTATAAATGCATAAAACATTTTGAATTAAATTTTCGAATTTTAGGTATAAACAAAATTTTTTTATTAAATTTCTAACTACAAAATATTTTGTAATTTTTAAGATTTTGACGAATTTGTTAAACTTTTAAATTAAAATCAAAAATACTTGTTAAATGTATTATACTTACACAGTATAATTAATGTTTTACATTGAGTATCTATAACTATGTTATCACCGATATTACTGTATAAAGTATAACGTAGGTAGTAGGTACCCATCTACTCATTTCTATAGACTATAAGTATATAACTACGTATAAGAAATATCAATGAGTAGGTAATGAGTAAATATTATATATATATATATATATTATATAATATATAATATATATATGCATAGTACTATGTATAGGTAGATATTTATTATGAAGTTTGTTTTAAATATTGTTTTATTTAGCTTATTAAAATAAGTAAATATATAATAATAGAAAGGTACTTACCCAATACTGAAAAAAATATATATCTTTAATAAATTCTTTTCGTAAGTATGTACACAAACAACTGGATTCAAACACTTAAAAAGGAAAAATGTCCACTAAATTCACACAAAACGACTAAAGTGATAAGAGGCTACACGTTAAGTAATGACAGAACAGTGAGACTATATTAACCCTGTGATCGGTCTGCAGTCGAGTGCCGCGGCCGAAAACACACGATTCGGGCGATCGGAATTTGCTGATTCTCAGTTTCTGCAGCGTATTCTACGAATCTCACGATTTTGTGTAAGGCGATCACGAATTATTGCTGGCATGGTGTAAAACAATCCTCATAATATTAAAAAACAAATTTAATGACAAATCAAAAACCGCTATACGACAAAATAATTTGAGTATTTAGTTAAAACAACGAAAAATAAATATCAATTTGCTTAGATTATTTTGCTATTTTAATAATTATTTTTTTCAAATTTTCTTAAAAATAATGTATGATTTTAGCAAAATAATTGCCAGTAAATACAATTTCTTTTGAGAAAAGTATAGATACAATAAGTGTTTACATATTTAACATTTATATATATATTTGAAATTTGAATACACGATAATATTAGTTGAATCTAATATCATTTATTTGAACAAGAATCCAAAAAACCTATCTTCATAATATACCTATTTATGTGTACTTTTATGATATGCGTTCAAGAATATACATCTAAATCTAAATATGTCTGATAAAATAAAAATGATTCAATAAATAATTTTTTTTTATAAATAGGTACCTATACTTGTATCATATAATTTCGTTAGTAATTAGTATTTGAACTTTGGTCTACCAAAATAGCTAATTAATTTATACGCATTATTTGAAATCAATAGGTACTGTTTTCTTGTAAATATACTTAAACATCTCAATGAGACAATTATTTAGATAGGGAGTAGTAAAAAAAAAAAATAATATGATACAAACACATAATTTTAATAAAATTTTATCATTTATTCATAACAATATTGTAAGTACTTAGAACCCTACAAAACATTTTTATAAGAACAATATGGTGTAAGTACATAGCATTAAATTTTATTACGGCATCAACAATATGTTTTAAAATGTATTCGACTTGGGTAACTTTTTTCTACAAAGTTATTTATTCTACTGCTATCAGTATGAGTAGTGTAAATAAATAATACAAATATGGTTAAGTATTATAAAAAAACACTATGATTTAATATTTTAACTTTAAATGTTTTATAATTGCCATGCATGATGTAGATTGTAGGAACAAAGTTTAAAAATATTATTAGATTAAAATAAACGCAATTAAAATAAAAACATGGAGTTTGTACAAATTCTCTGTAAATATAAATAAAATAACATCGTTACACATTTAGGTTTAATTATAGATAATATATTTCTATAATAACTGTTACAAAACTAAGTTGATAATAACAGTACACCTCAATGTCTTTCCGATCATTTTCTGTAAATGTTTATTCGCATAAAATTTTGTAGATTAGCTATAACTGTGAAAAATAAGGTATATACCTATATATTTGTAAGAATAATTTATTGATAAAACACCTACAATGAAAATTAAATATAACATTTAAAAAAATCATATCATATGCGTATTTGAAATTATTGTTTGAAAAAAGTAATAATTGTTTAAATATATTTATATATTATTATACGAGTATACACGAGTTTATAAAATTAAATATTTTAAAATAAACTTAATGAACAAAGACCCCAGGTATAATAAGAATTTTTCCCAAAAAATCTATTTTAATTTTTAATATTTTTATACAAGCATCATAGCTCTAAAACCATACACTTTTACATAGGAGCAATATAATAATACAATTATATATTATACTAGATATTTAAAACGCATTATTTGTAAGTTCTGTATGGGTAATTTTTAAGCTAAATTTATTAATAATTATTACATCATGCGGATTAGAGATTAGGTCTGAACAATCTAATGATGTAATTTTAACATTTAAAATAACTTCAAATGTCTATATATAATATTAATAATGGATTTATCCCATAAACAGTAAACGACTTATTTATTTATCATACAAACAATTTAATTTAAAAAATCTTAAAAAAATATTTATAATATTTGTATTTTTTTAAAGTTCGAAAATAATAAGTCTAAGTTTTGTTAAAAGTTTTTCGGTACTATATGATCTTAAATAGACAAGATAAAATTTCTAAACCTGTTTTCAAAATCTTATTAAAAAACTTAAGTAGGTATTTTATCAAGACAACTAATTCGTTTTAAATTAAAACAAATTTAATTTTTTTTTTATATATAATCATATAATAACACAACAACATTAATGACATAATACCACCTGTAACTTACTTTGAATTAGTATTAAACATTATATTATTTTATATTAAAATTACCTTAATGTAATTTGTTTTAAAACTCTTTTATCACATCCGTGTTTGTTATTACCATCTTACAAACGTATATAATAGCAAATTTGTATTTGGCAGTTCCATTTTTGTGTAGTACTTAAACTGTAATATTAAAGTGAATAGACCTTTTATCAAAATATAAATAAGATAATTATCTGTGTTTACTTAAGATTATTTACGATAAAATACTAGTAATATTCTTACCTGATAATAAATCAATTAACTTTAACTTTTACTCTACGACATAATAAGCAAAACTTTAGTTTTTTCAAGGCTAGGCCAACATATTTTAAAATTTTTCTCCTCCCTAGTTAAAAAAAAATATTAACAATTACATTTTTACATTTTTTAATATTATAAAATAATTATAACTATATTTATGCTTTGGTTTTTATTTTAGAAAATCATTTAACCTGTAACTAATCAGAAGTCTTGAGAGCTTGTATTATTTTTTTTTACTTTGCCTGTCACAGTGTTACTACTGCCGCGATATCGTTCTCTAAACTATCAATAATTAAAACTTATTTAAGGAACTTAATGGGACAAAAACAATTATCAAACAAGCGATTTATTACAGGAGGAAGGTCATGTGATATATGGACAATTATTGAGGCACTGAAAATAAGTACATATAAATTGTTATAAAATACTCAACATTTTATATTTCACAAGGGTCAATCGTCAATTGTCATTTCCGATTGATAATAATAATAATAATAACACAATCTATAGAAATCTATAGAATTTCTATGAAACTATAAAGTGTGGACTAATAAAGATTCATACACACTTGTCACCTTACAAACACATAGATCAAGTGCCGTAGATAAAGTGCAGTCAATATAATTATAACTCACTCGCACTAATGTCGATTTACAAACTAACATACATGCATGCCTCATCCACTCCAATACAATATGTAAATTAAATTGCCTAGAATTTACTCCTTAATAATTGACCAGCACCAATACCCTAACAACTTACTTCAGAAACTATATTGGATCGATATCAATAAAATGTTATACTAACAGATTCCAAAAATCCAATATTCAAGTATAAAATTACAATTTTACAAATTGATTACAGAAATAAAATGTAAAAAAATAATATTAAATTTAACTAGATTACATTAAATGGAATACTCAAAAAATGATCTTGTAGATGTCAGAAAAGTTTAAACAGTAGTTTGAGCCAAGTTCTATTCTGATTCTCCATGAGATGATTGCACATCTCAAATGGATTGGTTAAAAAATCGAAGAGCACTGATGCCGATTTTTCCATGAACTGAGTTATACTAAACCTGATATACACTGATATAGTACTATATTTTATATATTTTGTTTCAGTAATTCAATAAGTATTATGTATATTGTTAGCCGTTATACCAACATATGTTGTAACATATTATACTGAATAATTTTATTGTACATTATTTATATTATAGTTTGCATTTCTGTATTAATTTTTAGTATTAGTCATAACTATTGTTCATTTTTAGAAAAAAAAGGCAAATTATTTGAGTTACACTAAAAAATAAAAACAAAATTAATTTTATTAAATTCTTGTTTAGCATAAAAATTTCTGTTTATTCTCATATTATATTATTTATTCACCAATAATTATTTCATTATTGACCTTTCAAAAGTACCAAACAGAACCAATTTGATATCAGAAACTAGGTACTTTAAATAATAAAAATCAAAGGATTTTTTCTATTATTAAGCCCTTCAAATTAACAATTTATCATAATATATTCCACAATGGTATTGCTAATTTCATGAATTTGTTACTGTTTTACTATTTTTTTTTTTCATAAATTGTATGTTACATACAATATGTAAATATATATATATATCATTAATTAAACAATCAAACTAAAGGTATTAATGTATCATAAATTACCAAGTAATTATTGAATAACAGGTATTGTAAATTAATAATATTTTATACGTAAATAATGTAGTACGTTTAAATATATAATTAAATATATAGTGGTTAAATAAATTATCATTTTTTTGTTATAATAAAAAAATATATATTTCATGAAAGCTATTAAGTTCAAAAGATATAAGTCTGATTGATATAAAATATATTAGCTAAATAACCATGTGGATATTTGAATGTTAACTTGTAATAAAATTTACAACAAAATCATATTAATGATTAAAAATATTTTATAACAATTTAATAATAATAAAAAAAAATATATTATAAGCATGCAATAATACAACACAAAACTTGTTATTACACAATTTTAAAAAATCTATTGCTCCCAACAAAATAAATGTTAAGTATAATTGAAAAAATGAATAAAAAAAAATATAATTTTATAAATTTAAAAATGTAAAAAAATTAAATGTTAGTTTATAAAAAAGATTTTTTTTTATTAATTAATTATTATATGTTAAACAACATTTAGATAAAATAATAATATAAATCTAAATATTTATAATAATATAATACGTATGTAATATGAAACAGAAAAACAAAATTTTTTTAACAGGATATGATTCTTAAAATTTAATTAGACAATTTTAATTTAAAGAATTATTTTTAACTGTTCATTAAGCTTTAACAATAAACAAAAATATTAAATGAATATATTTTCACTCAATGTTGAAAAGCTGTTAAAAGTAATTACATAAAGACTTACAAAGCTTCACAAGCTAATAAATTTAAAATTATCAATTAATGGACAAAATATAATAATTTATAAATCTGAATTGTTTGTATATTAATATTTTTATTTTTTATTTTTTGCAATAAATCTCAGTAAAAATAATTAACACTGTTAAAATATGTTTGTACTTATGATAAATGGAAATTCAAGTAATTTCCAGGTTAACCCTGTTAATTAATTTAACTAAACAGGTCGATAATTCTATATCTTAATAAATAAATATTATAGTTTAGGAAGCACCAATAAGAACGGACCTTAAAATATATATTTTAAATTAAGCTGCATACGAATATATTTTGAATCTGAGGAAATTTCAATACCGTTTTTTTTTTAAATAGCTCCTAAATAGTCATTGCTATGTATTTCTGCATATTAAACTGTAATATATATAGGATACATATAAAAATTTAACATTTTATGTAAATTGAATAACCGATTTCTAAATTAAAAATCCATTTAAAAATAAAATCATTATCATAAAAAAAAAAAAAAAATAATAATAATACTTAATGACACTTAAAATCTATGAATACAATGTCTTTTCCACCCATTCTTCCATTGTAAATGAGGCAATATTTTTGTTGTCAGGATCACGTTCTTTGAACATATCTAAAAAAAATAAAAATTTCTCGATTATATTTATCTTATTTCATCAAAAAGTAGAAAAAAAAATATTTTGAAACAATTTAATAGTTATAAATTATAATATTATTTATAATATATGGACAAGTTAAGTCAATAAATGTACATTTTTATAATATGGAAGTTATGATTAAATACCCCTACAAACTGCAGTGATGGCGGTAAAATTTTATTGTCTTCCTCTACAACAGTAAATAATTGTGTGTGATTACATTTTAACGTCACCATTACTGTTATAGGGTGTTAGAACCTATAGAAACTAGTTTATGATAGCTTATATATAAAGTGTGTAAAATCATCAGTCAAATGACTAATTCGAAAATTATTTACTCATTTGTCATAATATGAATTTTTACTTTAAGTACAAAATAACTGTATACATATGAATATAAATATTATATAAATATTTCAATAGTCTATCTAACTATATTACGACAGATAGGCAATAGAGACATCTCATTAGATAATTTTACTTAAATTGGGCGATTAAAATATGCAATTTTATAGCTTTTAATTAAACAAAATTAAACTTACCTATCATCGTTTTTAGTCTTACAGCACACATAATAAAATCGTCAAACATTATATTTCCATCTTTGGTTGCATACCGATGACACATAATATTAAGGATATGTGTGTTAAGATGATAACCAACTGAATTCAATGCTTGTCTAAGTTCAAATCCATTTATGTAACCCTTGCTTTCTTTGTCGTACATTTTAAAGACAGTCTAAATCAGAACATAAATTTAAAATTTTATAATACTCAAGTGCCTTAGTTTAAATTTCTAACAAATTTAACATTTACTATTTAGTCAATTGTTTTTACCTTCCACTGTCTGATATCAATCCACAGACTTTTGAATTCTTCGAAACCAAGTTTACCTGATCGATCCCAATCCATCATAGCAATCATGCTACGGCATACATCTTTAGAAAATCCAGCTTTTTCCATTTCTGAAAATGTTAACTTTTATAAATACAATATAATTTAATTTAGACTAGATAGTAATTACCAACACTGTCATAGATTTTACTCAAAAACATCTCTTGATTAAAAAAAAAAAAAAAAAAAATACTTACTGAACGTAGATGCTAAAGGCGATCCCTGACAGAAAGCCTCACAGAATGTCTGAAGTAAGTTGACAAGGATATTATCTTCAGCATTTGTATTACTTGCCACATCTACAAATGGTATAATCAAATAAGCAACTATGTTAGTTGAGGTTCAAACTCATGCATACAACCAATAACTTTATAATTTACAAGTATAAAATAATAATATTAAACAATTATCTGTAATAATTCATTCTAAATTTAAGATCTATAATTTTTTGATAGAAATAAAATCATGTCTTAAGTTTTTTACAATTTATTAATCATATTTATATAGTTTATAATTATGAATCTATAAATTACTAAAATACCCAAAGATTTGTAAAATTCAATATTTAACAAATAAAATTATTTTTTAAAATAACTGATAGATATAATAATTATAAAAGCATTTGATTTGTTAGATGAATTAAATATACACATATTTGATAAGGTGGTTCAAATTAGTTAATAAAATAAGCTAAACAAAACACATTTTGGTATTGTTAAGGATATGATTTAACATTAAATTAATATTCACAAATCTAACTCTGAATTTATTATTTGGAGATCTGCCACACACTGATTTATTATATTTATGAATGTTCTATGAAAATTTAATGAAAATATTTAATTAACATAATCTGTATCATTAAATTTAAAATTATACAAGTTCATAGAATACATTTGTAAGCAAAGACTTAGAAATTCAAGACTATTTATTTTATTATGAAACTAAAATATAAATTTATATATTTATGTATAAAAAACTAGTGACTCTTAATTTCGAAACTTAATAAAAATAATGATAATAATAATACTGAATATCATAGCACAGTAAATAAATGTATACATTCAAAAAAATATATAGGAAATAAATAATCGATGTGTGGTATCCTCTTGTATATAATACATTATTTAATTAAGAAACACACTAATAACGTAATTATGTAGGTAATTAAGTTTAAAAGATTTTAGTATTAATTTACTCCAGTTCTATTTTTATGTAACAATAAATAACTATAGATTTATATGTATATGTGCAAATAAAAATGTATTGAAGTAGATGCACATTTTGTAAATTTTTAACCCACCATTTCTCATAGCATAATCCAAAATATCTTTGAGTTCCATCCAATCGACTTCTTGATCAACACCAGCCAATTTAAGGAAGAATTCTTTGATTTTCTCATTAGCTTTATCAACTTTATCTGGCTCAGGCTCTTGTTCTTTAATCTAAGTAAAATGTCATGATCATTTAATGTAAAATAATTATTTCTAACACAAATAATAATACAAAAAACATATTAACATTACCTTCACATCGACTTCACCCATTCCAACTTCATCATCAAGCTCCCTATAAAAATATTGTTAATTAGAATAACAACAAATTTGAAGAGTTGATAATAATTATCACTTACGCCATGTTATTTTCATGTTCTGAGAATACTCGAAGTAAAAATTCACCTTGTTCATTCGGATCGAATGTGGAGGGCACAATACAATATGTACCTGGTGGTAGACTGAATCGACTACTGACTTCTCGTAAATTAATAAATGTGGGACTTCTTGCTGTAGACGCGTTATACTTAAAAAAATTTGTATCCAGTGGTTTCGGTAAGGAATCTGGGTTGATGAGCTAAAACAAATCATATTTTTTTTTTATATATATTATTTAAATAAATAAACTGCATACCTATTGTTTTTTTAAAGTTATAAACACATATTTTTAGTTTAATATGTATATAATGTTATATATGTATATATGTTTTATGATACCTGATACACAGCAAATCCAATTGTTAAACATTCAGCGCCTATCTTTCGTTGAGCACGTCTATTTTTTTGCATTAAAGCAATAATTACGGTACATTTATGCTCATCGTCCTCATCATCAGGATCTTCTAATGTGATACGATACTGTGGATTACTTGCAAATGTTTCTAAATAAAAAGAAAAAAATATAAGCTATTATTGCATCACAATTAATTTTATAACAGTTTCAAAAAATATACCTAGAAAATTACGACATCCACCAGCAGTAGCACCTCGGACCCATTCGCCTTCAAACACACTCATTTCCCATCTTTTGTTAGAGTCTTCACCAAGTTCTTCTTTAGTAAGGAGATCAGGATTTAAATTGCAAATTTCCAATCGAGAGAAATATTTAACGAAATCTTTATATGACATCCAAAACTCGCCATCAGCATCAAATACCAAACCTAATGATTGTTTGTCAGAATCTGATATAAACCTCCACTCAGCTGATCTATAAAAGAAAATAATAATTTTAATCAATAAATATAATAACATTTTTATGCTCTACCTATAATTATTAATATTATACGACTACAATTTGTAATTTAAACTAATACTCACTTATCACTCCACGGACCATTCCATTCTGCTTCATTGCCCCATGGATTTCGAAGTCTGAGTAAAGGTATTTTACCAGTTGTATTTGGAGTTGTAATGTCTACATATGTTACCCTGGTTATACTGTATGCATGACCTTTAACCAATCCTTGAGGTGTTTCCATCTCAGTAATGCTTGGGTCGGCCTATTCACGAAACAGATAATTAAATTAAAACATATTTTTTGTAGCAATTAAAAAATTAAATTACAATTTGTAAATGGAAAAAATTAGGGCTGTTGGATTAAAGCTATCCAAGTACAATATCATACCTAATCTCAGCTATTATAATTTTGTAACTAATTAAAATTACATAAAAATGGAAAATTATTTTTGTACTACAATAAATCGAAATAGACACTTTAAGGCTTATGGAGAGTAAATAAAGACTCTACAATTTGTATTACCTCTCCACGCCAAAGAACCAGCGGTTAAGTACAATAACCCTGTATGGAGTAAAATTATATATTATGTACAAAAATTATTTTTTAACTTTTATTAAATCCAATACATATAATTTTTTTATTTTACCTCAATAGAGCATCCCATTAGTGATTGCCGTTGAAAAGCTTTCAACATGATCATAAACAAATTGGCCGGAACTTCACTTAATTCATACATTTCTGATACACCACCAGTGAAATCCTCCATAGCCTCACATGTGCTACCTCCTTTTAATGCTTCGTATGACCCATGAATTCTAGTAAATTACATATTTTGTAAAAAATAGTGCTAACAGAAATAAAATTAAAGAAACAATGATTAACAGCTTTAATACCAACTCAATAATATGGTTCATCAATAAATAACATGTTATAGCATTTAACTGACAAAATAAAATTAGTTACCATAAGACGTTAAAATGACAAATATGAGGTTAATACAATCGAATATCATATGATATTTATACATAGTTTTAATAATTATTTAACAGCTAATGGTGTATACAAAAAGGAATTGTGGATCTTATGGATCCTCTCTTGACCTTTTTTCATAATTGTTTGCATGAGGCACTTGTAAATATTATTTATTAGGCATTTAATTTATTTTGCTCAAAGATTGATATTTTTTAAAATTCAGAAAATAAATAATATGAAATTAACAATGAATAACAAATATTATTTCAAATAATAATAATTAAAAGTTATTATATAGGTACTTTTAATGCTCAATTGTCTATCAGTGTTGATTATGGTAAAACAAACATATTATATTCAAAATTTATAGAACATAATAAATTATATATAATAATTAAGGATACTTTAATTTTATTAAAAAATCTATAGTTTAACTAATTAAAATATCTCACCCGGATAAAACTAGAATAGATAAGTTTGTCTTCCTGGTATATTATCACCGGTACATAAAAATGATGGCAAACGAAGTTATTTATGAATTTAATTTAAAATATAAAATGTTATAGATTTTGTGTTTTATAATATGTTTATGATAATAAGTCAATAAATAAATAATATAGTAAAGTATTAAATAATAATATTGAAGTATCATGTTTATAAAATCTTTAAATATACATTAGTAGACTTCGTGTGACGAGTGTACGTAGTCGTCATTGAATACTTGCAATGGCTGTGTACTTGATTAATCCTAACAAATGTATGTTAAAGTTATACTTAATTACATATCTATTCTCAATATTTTCTACGTTAACATTGTTATTACATTGTGGCAATTTTAAGAAAACATGGAGAGGAGTTAAGAGAAACTTCGTTTAAATCTATCGCCCGTCCTCAAGAAAAAAACCTATACTACTATTAACGAAAAAAATACTAAGAATATTCATTTTTTTTTTTTACTCAAAAATTTAATTTTTTTCAATTGTGTTATTATTGTACTTTGATAGATGGAAATCAAAATGGCCATTATTTACAAATATTATATCACATTAATGATACTAAAGTAAACAAGTGGTTATGGATAATAAATATTTTCAATTGCTTACTTGGCATATGCTTTCTCCAATAATGCACTCCAGAATTCATTTTCAGTTGCTGAATGAAGGAATATCAACTTGCCATTATAAGTTGGTAAACGATCATCAATTACCACATCAACCCATCTACCATACTGCCAAAATCTAAAATAATCAAAGAATATAATACGATCCAAATATCAAATAAAATTAATAATATATTTACCTAAAGTGAAATATACCCGCGTATTTACTATCGAATCCTTGATCATTTGGCACTACTTGATGAAAGAGTTTTTCGTTCAAAGTCAAATTGGCTACGGCAGCTAACAACCAGCAGTCACCTGTTAAAATTATTGAGCTTATAAATTTGCATAAAATTTAGACTTTAGAGTATTGACCTATGTATTATTATTTAAATTAATTTTTTTTAATGTAATCGGATTCTAAAATGAATAATCCACAAACAGATTTAAAATGATTAAATTCAATTTATTTACCCAATTCTCCTTGCTGTACATCGAATCTTGAAGCACCTTCAATAAATAATTGAGGATTACTTGCGATCTCCTATAAATCAAATTCTCAATGTTATTTAATTAAGTATATTTAGACTGTAATTTTTTTTTCAATACGATTTATTTAAAATCTATGCTCACGTTTGGTCTTCGCCATTCAAATCGTTTATCTGGCAATTTGCTATAAAATATCGAAGAATTGACTGTATCAAAATCCGGATCTTCGAAAAGTGCTCCTCGTTGTAAGCATTGATCTCGGAGTACTTCAAAGTCCTGGACATCTCCAGCTCTCGGTCGAAAACCAGAACCTCGTTCACCAATCTTAAACATTTAAAATATAATAATTAAAGTTATTTATTAATTTGTTTAATAAAATATATTCAAATTTTTTTCAACAACCACGATCAAGTATAACACTTTCATATTATGTTGCAAACATTAAATTAACCGTTATTGTATTTTTTTGTGATTATATCATTTTCATTTCATTAAAGTAAAGGTCAACATTTCCCAGTGGAGTTATAACGCTACAATAACTGACAAGTTAAATGTTTCGGCTCATTATTTATCGTATTAGATTTTATATAAATATAGGTAGGTACATATAATGTATTACACGCAATTAATTTAGTGTCATGTAAAATATCTGAGTATCTAAATATTTTATATTGCTTTAATTTTAACACTTGAAATATTTTTAAAATATTAAAATGTCAGTTTTTAATTTATAATTACTCATTAGTCATTACCATTTCAACAAATACTATAAAAATAAATATTTAAAAAAAAAATCATGTACCGACATTTACCAACTTAGTGGTTTACGTACAATGTAACAATAAATTACAATACACATTATATGTATATATGATACAATATCCAAAGCATGTAAAAATCCTGAAATACATTTTAAAGAGTATGCAGATCGAAAACCTATGGTTATATGTATTTTTTGTAAATTGAGTTCATAAAAATAAAATATTTAATATTACAATATTATATTATACCAACTCTATTATATTATTACTATTGTATATTTAATTCACACTAAGCACACACGATATTCTCTATGATATGGTATTTTGTCTTTCATTAAATTTATTAATTTTATATTTAACAACTATTAACGATGAATTTTATATTCACAACAAAATATGTTCGTTGTAAATTAACGTCTATTACGTGATACTACTTCAGACAATTAACTCTAATTTGCATACTTATTGGTCACGGTCCTATAGGAGTAATACACCTATAAGTTACCCATAATCATTAATAGTGCAAAATTATTCTTGATAAACTATGAAAAACATCTTATAAAAACTTTCACTTATACTTTAAATTATCAATGTTATAATTTCGACTAAAATTAATTTTACATAACTAAACAACTACAAGTTTATATAGGCTGATAAATTAAAAACTACAACAAAAAATATTTGGTCAAATTTACGTGCACGTATTATTGACGCAGTACAGTGATTCAGCAAGACAAATTATAAATTTAGTTCAATAAACACATAGATACATCACATAAAAACTTGCGACTGTAGTATAAGTTATTGCGACGATGCAATACGTACGGTTTCGAAAGAGAAAAAATACACGTTTCGGTGTTACATTGTTGTAAGTCTTAACCCTTAGATTTAAGGGACACAGCCTATACATATGATCACTGTGTGAGACTGTCGAAAACAAATTTCGAATTTTAACGGTGGGAAAAAAAACATAAATCATCGCAACGACCTGTTGCCGCTTGATAAGCCAACTCATAAGCAGTTCACACCGGTCGTATTATGTGCATTATGTACACGAAAATGGATACCTATTATAAACAACAAGAAATAGACAATAATTGATAGGTAAATGTAATGTGTACAACTATGATTCACACGCCTAACCAACGCAGGATTGCCTAGTATGTTCTATAAACGCAGTGGCGAAGCAAAAACGGGTGTGGTTTGAGCAGAGTGAAAAAATTTAGCGAGTTCCGCAAAACACGCGCGTCTAAAATCCAAACTTCTCGAGTGCTTCTATACGTCGCGTGCGGTGTGTGTGTAAAGCGAAAATTAATAAAATTTAATTTAATCTGTGCTTACGTAGTAAACCAACGTTTTCCCGTGTCTGTACGGCATTTGCGGCGATTCACCGTTCGAATTATTACAAAAGTATAATAATAACGTGCGTCGGCCGTCTACGGCGGTGTTCCTAACCTAATAACAATACTGCTGTTGCGTCTTTTGATACGTTCCACGGTCACGGTCTAACTGCTACTAAGCCCCGACCGGATGATGAAACGCGTGATGACGATACGTATTGTTATGTTTTACAGCGACGTTTTAGGGCGAATAGAAAAAGGCGTGTCGTTGTCCTGGGCCACAGTTGTCGACGCCGCGTGTTTCGCTTTATTGATCGCCCGTGCCGGTCGGGCGCAGGGATACTCAACATTCGGACGAGTGCGACCGACTGTTCGCGAACTGGAAGTGAACGGTTGAAGGAACTCGAAGGGACGTCGGTCACAGAACATTCGCCGATTAGTCGCACACATTGTACCACTGTTGGCTACTTGAAGCAATTTTTGGTTTTGATAAACTATAATAACGAAATTAAACGAATAAAATGTTTGTGAATGATAACGATGACTGATGATCGGAATTGCAGGCACAATGCTACACATAGTCAGAATTTCATTTGTGGAGGAGTAAGGTCCGTTTTAAAAAAAAAACACAGGACATAAAAATAGTTAATAACTTTAAACGTTTGAATATTTAAAATAAAATTTAATACATTTAATTTAATATAGAATAAATGTTCTAAAAAAAAAAAAAATATATTAATAATATTAAATAATATAAATATTAATATAAGTATTATTAATAATAATAATAATGTTATATTATCTTGTAGGTAACATTGTATACATAAAACTGTCGGTATGATAACTATAATTTATACATAATCTTTTTTTTTTTTTTTTTGATATTATACTCAAAACATAGTTTGGTGAAATAATTATTTCCCAGTGATTATAAAAGAGTCAGATCTATTAAATGATCATGTATAATTATATATTGAAGTACGAAGTGTTTGTATATTTACTTTTTTTAACGTCGTAAATAATCGTTCAACTTATATTGTTAAAAAAAGTTGCCATCATTCGTTAGACAATTTTTTTTTTATATTTGGTAAAAATTAGAATCACACGAGCTTCCGATTTTCATAATATCTGTAGGGATTTATATATTATATTGTTTTCCAATTTTCATATCGAGGTAAATAAACACTCAATTTATGCTTTTCAGACATTATTTATGTTCATAACTAATGCTAAGATTTGTTTCTTTTTACTTTTTTATCTAAATCGAGTTTTTGGTATTTCTATAGATAATAAAATATTATTTTTTTTAATCAAATCTGTTCAGGCCTGGAATAAGCCAAAAAAAAAAAAAAAATTAACTAAGCGTAGCAAAAAAATTGAATATGTTTTATAATACTCTTTTAAGGTAGAGTAATAATTAATAAGTAATAACTAATAATTATCCCGTTAAATCGTAACACCAAGAATTTTAATCTCAGCTTCAAATTTTAATGTATATAGTTAAAAAGTTTATTGTAAAATTATTGAAAATTATTGGTTTGCTTTTTTTTGCATATATAATTCAGCGTTTTTACAATATCCATAGCATGGTTGACAATAGATGAACGATTACGTGATTAGGATCTTGCGAACATGACAAATGAAATTCACTCTTCCATAAACAATTGTTACGAATAAAAAATAACGCAATTCCAAATAATTTTTTTTTATTACTGCCAAAAATGAAGAAAAATGAATAAATAAATACATACATATATTATATACATATATATATATATATATAGAGAGAGAGAGAGAGAGAGATACGATAATATAATAAACATAAAATCACATACATTTCTTTAAATTACGCCAGCCATTCCAATTTTTTCAACCAATTATATTGAAATTAAAGTTTCTTTTGATTCAATTTTCAAACAGAAAAACATAAAATTTTGTTGAAATAATCAATGCCATTTTAAAAATTAGATACTTTAAAAAATGTCGTTATGGATAATAAACGAATTACTTTGAAACTGTTTCAATATCAATAAAATTGATACTCACAATGTTGGATGCATAAATCGATGTACTAGACGCTGATTGATTGTATTCTTGACTTTCGTTATTTTGATTTAATGATGCATCAATAAATAGTTTTTTTGGCATCGGTTTAACAAAACTATCAAACGCACTTTTATTCATACTTGATGATTAGTTAAGAAAGAACCAAAACGAAACGAAATAAAAATTACTTTTTTGTATAAAATATGCCTGCGTTTGTCGACTGACGACTAGGTACAGGATATAATTTACTTTGCATCTTATACATTCTACACGACGTGCGACGACACATTAAAAATAATAAAATATAATATATACGAATAAACGATCTATTTCTGTTGATAATAAACAATATTGTGATTGTTATATTACAATATAAATGTATTTCAATGTATTATAATGAATAGTGTATACTTCCTTATCTATGCGATTGTATTTATGAAGGTTTTTTCATATTTATGTGCGTATCAATATTTCGCAATACAATTTAATATTATTTTGAATTATACATATCATTATAATCATAATAGTTATTAGTTATGCTAGTTATAGATGTAAAAAAATTCTCACATCGTAAAAACTATTTCAAAAATTTTAAACTTATATGCATTCTCATATTTATTCTAGTATACTACGTTCTATTAATATGCCGAGTGAGAACAAAATACGTTCCATAGTGTTGTAAATTTTAAAACATTTACTTTCTTTGTGCATATTTTAAACTTTAGTTCTATTTCAATATTGATTGAGCATGGATTATAATTGTTAGAAAATATTTTAAGATTGTTTAACTTTATTTACTATTTACAATACATTAAATTTTCTTGTCTCATGACTGGACAAGTATTTTAGTCGATATTTTATGATAATTTTTTATGATATAAAACAAAATTATACTAACATTTTACCCTTTTACGCGAAACAATATCGTGATAAATAATATAGTGGACAAAATAAAAACAAAATATCAACATCAAATATAGTACCTTATATTAAATATTGTTATCATAAAGTTTTTAAAATTTGAAACTTAAAAATTAAGATGCTTTAAGTAAAAATTCTACCACCGGTTTGTACTTAAAAACAATTACAAAAGGTAAAATTATGCCAGAATATATATATATATATATATATTAAAATAGTTTTACTTACACCTCTGTGTAGTTAAATCTCTTATCCT